CACACAGGGGAAGGCGGAGGTGGGAGGAACGGAGGAGCAGATTTGATGCAATGCCTTCAAGCAGCGGCAAGTTCCGGAACACGACGCCCAAGGAACGAACTCCCCCAAGTTCGTTCTTTGAACTACAATTCCCAGCATTCCCTGACTGTGCTGGATGGTATTTGCAAAGACGTGGCTGCGCGGGGGCTGGTCGAAGAGGCGCATTACGTATTATCAATTCTTCCTGCAAAGAGATGCATAAGGGAGAGAGATGCTTCCTTGAGAGCAACGGGAAGTTACTTCTGAATAACGAGTTACGCATTTATTTATTTTTTGTCCCATTTAAGGTTGGGAATGGCTTATGAAATATAGGGATTGCGGAGGATGTGAAACGCGCCAATTAAAAATGTGCGAATTAAAAATTCTGTGAAATATATCATATAATCATATAATATCATGGAATTGTAAAACGAGCCTAGACTTGTAACAGTTGCAAAACGAAAACAAGCTCTCCTTAATTCAGGTCCTATAAATGTAACTTTGGCAACCTGCTTGTCTGTGTTAACGGATACGTTTCCGTCCTTGCAGCCCTGAGGTTGTGGATGGGACCCTTGGAGAGGGGAGAAGCCCTCGCCCCTGTTGTTGGGTCCTTGCTTTTCTCTGGTTATAAAAGCTGCCTGGGAGGAGCTGGGTGGGTGGACGAGCGAGGAAAGCCTCCCTGCGGCAGGGCAGGATCCCACCCTACAGGACTTCAAGGAGGCAATAATGGGACCATTGCTGAAAAAGGCCTTCCTTGAAGCATTGGCCAACTATTGGCCAACTGCTGGCCAGTGTCAAATGTTCCCCTCCTAGGCAAGTCACATCACAGCACGGCGTCTTCTCATCTCCAAGTGTTCCTGGATGAGGTGGATGATCTCCAGATCCATTTCAGTTTGACTTGAAGCCTGGTGATGGGACAGCGGTTGCTTTGGTCACATTGGTGGATGATCTACACAGGGAACAAGATGGGGGAAATGTGTTCCTGTTGAGAACCTTGGACCTCCCAGCTGCTTTTGATATCAGAACTCAGGAGGTGGTGGTGGGGAACCCCTCTTCTATGCACCAGCCATTGGCCCATGGAGCCCTCGAGGCTCTCTTTTGTCCCTATATTATTTAATCTATACATAAAACCGCTGGGCGAGGTTGTCCAGGGTAAGTGAAATTTGGTGTCATTCAAATCTTATCTCCATCTAATTCCAAGGAATCCTTTTTGGCTCTAATTTACTGGATGAGAGGGAATAAACTGAGGCCTAATCCAGCCAAGACAGAGGTGCTCTCTGGTCAGTTGAAAGGCGGATCATGAAGCAGAGTTTCAACCTGTGCTAAACGGGGTTGCATTCCTGCTGAAAACACAGGTGTGCAATCTGGGCATGCTCCTGGAGTCGTCCCTGAGCCTGCAGGCCCAGATCTCAGTGGCAGGCATGTGCAGTGGTACCTCGCTAGACGATGATAATCCATTCCACTGAAATCGCTGTTTAGCGAAATCATTGTCTAGCAAAAAGCATTTCCCTATTGGAATGCATTGAAACCAGTTTAATGCATTCCAATGGGGAAGAATTGTCGTTGTCTAGTGAAGATCGGCCATAGGAAACCCGCTTTGCGAACCGCCAATCAGCTGTTTGAATCACTGTCTTTCGAAGCTTAGGTCCCGAAAACACCTGTTTTGCGAGCACGGAGGGAGCTGTGAAAATCGTTGTCTTGCAAAAATTGGTTTGCAAAGCTGGGACCAAGCATTGTCCAGCAAAATTCCCCCATAGGAACCACTGTTTTGCGAATCGCTATAGCGATCGCAAAAAGCCAATGTCTAGCGAAAAAACTGTCATGCGGGGTAACTGTCTAGCAAGGTGCCACTGTACCTGCATGGTCGAAACTAGTGCAGTGGCTGAGCTTATTCCTGGAGACCTCTGGCCTGGCCACAGTGGCACATGTCACAGTTACATCCTTTTTGGGTTGTCTTCCAGGTTCTGATGGTATCTTATATTGGGGATCGGATATGTTATTTCTTTCAACTACAACTCACAGAACTGAGCAGTAAGCTTGGCAGAAGCCAAAACCTGAGATGAAAGGTAGGGCCTTGTGATGTCATCCTTCATATCATCATGAATTCGGTAGTCCAGGTTTTCATCCTGACAATCTACACAGCCAGCTTCCTCACCAAGGGGAGTCGGTGTGTGTGTGTACAGACAATTGGATCAGTTTATATCAACAAATGAGTAGCCAGTCATTTGTTAAGTTAATGTCTCTTAATTTCTCAGTCAAGACCAAAGCACTCAAATATTTTGAATTACAGCAGGAGTAGCTTGCAACAATTCCTATTCCTAGGAAAATCCTTTTCTCCCTCAGCAACTATAAGGACTACAGGCAAACACAGAAGGAACAGAGAAGCCTGGGGGAAATAACAGATGATGTCATAAACCCTGCTACTCAAAAAGTCTGAGGACTTTAGCTGTGCAAAGTCTAATCCCACTACCCCAGTAGATGTCATAGAATAGGCATTCTTGCTTCTGGCTTTTTGATGTGCCAAGCAGAACACTTGTCTAAAAACCTTTGCTCCGAGCCATTGTCCTCCTGCACCAGCTGGCAACAGGGCTTTAGAACCAGTATACCTCGTAGGACCAGTTACAATGGAAGTGGAGGTGGGGTGGTGGTGTTGCCTTCACATTCTAATTATTGTGTTTCAAGAAGTATTCAGAGAGCTGATTGAACAGTATGCAGACTGACTCTCAGCATACAACAATAAAACTTTATTACTTTCGAAAGTAGGAGATACGTCAATATGCAGACACAGTAAATGTGTAAAGTGGTTGGCTCTGAATAATAAAAGAGTTGCTCTTTTATACTTCTAAGTGGAATTTTCCAAGAAGTAGAAGTAGAAAAAAAAGTGATACAAACAACCATCAAAACGTCAACAAAGACTGCTTCCTGCCGACAAATTATTTAGATGGCATGATCAGGAAATGTTTTATCTATTTTTATACCTCTGTTTGCCTTGACCTGGTGAATACAACTCTCCAGATCTGCTGTGATGCCCATATAGAGGGACCCTTCCATATTCTACATTGTTTCTCCCTCCCTCCCCCTGCCGCCGTGAGCCACCTTAGGAAAAAAAATATATGCTGGCAGAGATGGTCTGACTCCAAAGATCTACAGCACACTCTGCTTTTGTGAACGAAAACAATAAACGAATCCACATCATTGTTTCTTTGTACATGCTGTACATTTCCCATCCACTGAAGAATGTTTTCCATTGGTGTTCCTTAACGGGAATCATTCTAGGATCACCTCTGCCGAGAAAAACATGTCCTTGTTGACGTCATCTTGATGTGTCATCAAAACTGATGTTCGCAGATCTAAATTAAGTCATTATTTGTCTTGGCCAGCAGATGTAGCTGTTTGTTTGATTCTTAGCCTTTTGGTGGCTTTCCTCTAGGAAGCAGCTTACAGTTTACCTTTTAGATGTAGTGCAAACTCAAGGATTTGGGGGAATTATAATTCAAATAAGTAACTTTTCCAAGTTCTGCTCCACAGCTACTCAGTTGCTACGGGAAAAGATAACTTTATGATTTGTTTAAGATTATATTTGCTTCTATGTTTGAAGAAAACTAATGGATACTTTTCTTATAGTTCATTTATCAGAATAGAGGTTCTAACCCACCAACCCTTTCTCAGGTCTCCTGTAGAGCCTGCTGATGTGTGAATCCTAAGGGACCAGAAAAGCTGATAGATTTCCCCCACGGCGGGCATTTTCCTCTCTATTTCAGAAACTTTCTGTTTTTGTTTTTTTGTTTTGTGTGTGTGTGTGGAACTCAGATTTTTCTTAGCGCTGTAAAATGAGAAGGGGAACCACCACACTTTCAATTCATTTATTTGATAGCAGTACATTATGTTTTTGTGTGTGTGTGTTTGTGTGTGTGGAACTCAGCGCTGTAAAATGAGAAGGGGATCCACCACACTTTCAATTCATTTGTTTGATAGCAATACATTATTTTCCCCTCTTCTGTGCTTTATCTGACAAGGAAATCATGACAGTTTTCTATCTATCTAATATATACATATATATTTAAAGCAATCATGTGAGAACTAGTCATGATGCTCTTCTAATTCTTAGCAACTAAAGGTGTATCTAAAAGGCAGATTCAAAACATGAGAACTCCAAAGCAAGCTCTTATTGTATATTCTATGTGTATATTCAGAAACAAAGCAAATATTATAAAGACAATAGGTGCCTCCCAGATCTTTCACCCAAAGGAG